TCAGGCCATCCACTCACCTCAGCCTCCCAAAGGCGCGGGATGACAGGCTGTGCCACCGAGTACAGCTGCTACAGCATTTTAAAGACAAATGTGTTCCAAACCCAATGCTGAAACAAATATTCTAAAAATAAAATATTCAGGAAAAAATCCTACCGTGTTACCTGGCCCTGTGTGGCTTCATTTACAAGCCAAATATTTATTTATTGAATTGAGTGACTGCTGTCAGGGAACTGCTTTTGGCTACTTAGCAGCGGCTTTACAAACAACCGCTGGGAGCAGAGCGTGCCTGGGAGAGGCTCTGAGCTCTTCGCAGCGGTCAGCTTCATCCCACAGATGCTTACTGGTTAAGAGAAAGGCGTTCAGGGTGGCAGAACTGTGGAGTGGATACCATGACTACTTTTCCAATAATTAAATAAAAATAAATACATCGAATGCTTTCAAAACTGGCTAAGAGCAAGACAGTCCAGAATCAAGACTAAAATATTACACTGTGTCCAAGTGTAACGTTGGTTTTGTACTGATTTAAAGGGGCTAGTAAATACTGGAACTCGAAAATAAAAAGTACTTTGAAACTTCACTTCTCAGTCGGACTCAGTGGCTCAGCCTGTAATCCCGCGCTTTGGGAGGCTGGGGTGAGTGGACTGCCTGAACCCTCGGGTTCGAGACCCGCCTGGGCAACTTGGCGAGACCTCATCTCTACAATAAATCAAAAATCAGCCAGGCGTGGTAGCGCGCGCCTGTAGTTCCAGCTAATTGGAAGGCTGAGGCGGAAGGATCGCCGCAGCCCAGCAGGTCGAGGCTGTGGTGGCCGGGAGCGGTCACTGCACTCCAGCCTGGGCGACGGAGTGAGACTCCAACTCAAAAAAGAAAATGAAATGAAATGAAATGAAATAAAATAAAAAGTAGCCAGGTATGCGGCTCGTGCCAAAAAACAAAAACAAAAAAACTTCACTACCCTGAAACGTACTTACATACTCAGTGAGCTTCACTTTCTGAAAAACTGTCGTTTTCCCCCAAAGGAACATTAGCTTTTATGCATTTTTTGTTTTGCTGCCAAATAGCCTGAGCTTGCCAAATGTCTCCTCCATTCTACTCTGAAAGCTGACTCTCCAGCTGATGCCACTGCAAGCCTTGTTCCAGAACCTAACGTTGGCCGAAACCTTCTAGGAGTCTCGGGGCCGTTTCCACACACCCTGCTCTGCAGTCCAGCTGCTGGCCAAGCACCAGTGTCTGCGGAAATACCCCCAGGACAATGCTCGCATACTGGGAACTCGTCGCCCCTGGGATGGGGCGCAGGCCATGGTGGCAGAGCAGTGCGCCAGAGCGCCAGGACCACGCGGCCGGGTCTCGGCTTGGACTGTTTGCGCGACGGTCCCCCGCCGCAGCCCACCTTTCCCACCAAAACAGGCAACCTGATTCCCTTCAGCTGAGCAACAAGTTAAATGCAAGTGCCAAAACCCACCTCAGGGATTTACTCAGGCGAACAACACCACTGGCAGACCGAGCCGGCAGTACCACCAAGAGACGTGTGTGCACACTCACTTTTTTCAGGGGGGCTTCCAGCACGTTCTCTGGCAGCACTGATCTCCTGCTGTAAAAGCCCCTGCCGGGATGCATCCGAAAGAGCAGACGCTTGCTTCGCCGATCTCAAGCAAGACTCCTTGTCGCCGGCTTCCCTCCACTACGTCCAAACACACAGAACAGACTCCGTGAGCCTGTGTCCAGCCCGGCAGCGGGCCAGCCCTCCATGTCTCCGGCTGTTTCCTGGCTCGCCCCCGCAGAGGGGGCGGCGTGGGGCGGTGGTCACGGGCACCCACGCTGGCCCTCGGCTGCCGGGGAGCTCTGAGAGCAGAGGCAGGCTCGATGCTTCACTTGGCCCCTCAGGGCGCCACGACCTGCTGAGGTCACTGTGCCTTCCAGTAAGTGCCAAATCTCATGAGACTAAGCTAGTGCTGCAATTTTGCCTTATTTAGTTTGAATGCTATGCCTTAATAATAAAGTCAACAAAGTTCGGCAAATGAATTACTTGCTAAGTTCTGGTCCACATGATGACCACAGGGAAGTAAAATAATCTTCTCTATAAAAAGAGAAAATAATCTTAAAATCAGCTCAGAGGGTAACTAAGACAACACATTTAAAATACCATACAATTCCTAAAGGTTGCCAATGTTCTAGAAATTCTACAGCTTTTACATGGAAACACACATAACTTTTTTTTTTTTGAGTCGGAATCTCACTCTGCCCAGGCTGGAGTGCAGTGGTATGATCATGGCTCACCACAGCCTCAACCTCCAGGGTTCGGGCGATCCTCCTGCCCCAGCTCCCGAGTAGCTGGGACTACAGGCATGCGCCACCAGCTAACTTTTAAGTTTTTGTAAAGACGAAGTCTTGCTGTGTTGCCCAGGCTGGTCTCAAACACCTGGGCTCAAGCGATCCTCCCACCTCAGCCTCCCAAAGTGCTGGGATTACAGGCATGAGCCACTGCGCCTGGCCAGACACATAGGTTTTTTATATGTTATAGAAATACTAACACGTCGAATGACAAAAACTTGAAAGAATCACAAAATAGGAGGCCAGGAAGGACCATAAGAATCCACTCCTTTCCGTGGGTGCAGTGGCTCGCACCTGTCATCCCAGCACTTTGGGAGGCTGAGGCGGGAGGTTTGCCTGAGTCCAGGGGTTTGAGAGCAGCCTGGGCAACTTGGCAAGACCTCGTCTCCACAGGAAATAAAAAAACTGGCCAGGCATGGCGGGGCGTACCTGTAGTCCCAGCTACTCAGGAAGAATGGCCTGAGCCCAGCAGGTCGAGGCTGGGGTGCCGTGAGCGTGCCACTGCACTCCAGCCTGGGCAAGAGTGAGACTCTGACTCAAAAAAAGGGAATCCCCTCCTTTCACCAGCCAGGTGCAGTGGCCACCACGCTTGGCCTTCCCGACGGCACTTCTATCCGTTTATGGTCACTGATGCTTTGCGTGTGGTCACTCGCAGTCACGCCGTTCCTCCCTGTTCCAAGTCTTTTATAGTTCGGAGAATTAGGTAAATCGGGGCAGACACTGACCCAGTCAGCGGAACAAGCCAAGGAAGGCAAGGAAGCGAAGCACACTCAGGGCAATGGGGACGATGCTTGACCAGGAGCAGGTGGCACCAGCATTAGACCCCCTCTGAGAAGCACCTGTGGACGCCAGACTGCCTTTTCCAGTGAAAACCCCTCGGCTTGATGCTGTTGCCGTCTGGCAGGGCTGCTTCAGCATTTCCATGCTCAGTGTGAACAGCGGGGCCCCACCCCATTCTCACCTTCTTCGTTTCCTCCTCCAACACTGCATTTAACACCTCTATTTCTTTCCTTCTGTTTTCCCGAAGGAGTCTGGCTACTTCCTGGCAACATTTGAGTCTGGCTACTTCCTGGCAACATTTGCTTCGTTGCAAATCGTCACACTTTTGTTTCTGCAAAGCTTGAATTTTCCAGTCAGTATTCAGGCACGCTTGTTCAGTTTTTGCCAGATCTTCTTCCGTCATCTAAATTTCAGAAACAAGGTCAGACAACACACAGTGTGGCATGTCCATTCCATGTGGCCAAGTGTCCAGGGCAGCTGTTTACAGCCTTGGCTGCATCTTAGAATCACTCAGAATGTTTAAAACAAACTGACACCTGGGCCCCAGTACACATAATTAAATCAAACTCTGGGGTGGTTGGATATCGATACTTTAAAAAAAACTAGAAAAACAAACAAAAAAAACTCCAGCCTGGGCAACAGAGTGAGACTCCAACTCAAAAAAAAAATAAAAATAAAAAGGTTATTGGCCAGGTGCAGTGGCTCATGCCTGTCATTCCAGAACTTTGGGAGGCGGAGATGAAAGGACTGCCTGAGCCCAGTGGGTCAAGTCCAGCCTGAGCAACATGGCAAGACCTCATCTCTACAATAAATTAAAAAAAAAAAAAATTTGGCAGGGCATGGTGGCTCAAGTCTATAATCCCAGCACTTTGGGAGACCAAGGTGAGTGGATTGCCTGAGCCCACAGGTTTGAGAACAGCCTGGGGAACTTGGTGAGACCTCATTTCTACAATAAATCAAAAAACATTAGCTGGGCATGGTAGCACGTGCCTGTAGTTCCAGCTACTTGGAAGGCTGAGGTGGAAGGATCGCCTGAGCCCAGCAGGTTGATGCTGGGGTGGCCGTGAGCGTGCCACTGCACTCCAGCCTGGGCAACAGAGTGAGACTCTGACTCAAAGAAAAAAAAAAAAGAAGAAATGGTTATTTGTCATCGTGTAGAATCCTGATCTTCAAGTGATTCTAACGCACAGCCAAGGCTGAGAACATCTAGGCTAGGGGATGGGTGGGATTCAATGATCTCCATGTTTCCAGCCTCTTGAGGAGAACTCAGAAGAGCCTTTTTAACAGGCTGAACAAAAGCCTATTAAAACAACCAACCCCGGCAGAATATTTGGGGGAATGGCTGAAGGGCTGCTGTAGCCGGGGAGGTCTTCACCATGCATTAGTGCTGGCTTCTGGAAGAGGGCCAGACCTGGACACGCCCGTTTAACACTTTGTTAAGGAGATCATAGAGAAGTCTCCAGCTTTACTTCAATCCTCTTAAGTCAGCGTTTCTGCAAGCATGCTCCATAAGAAATTCTAAGCCAGGCACAGTGACTCACGCCTGTCATCCTAAGCACTTCGGAAGGCTGAGGCGCGAGGACTGCCCGAGTCCGAGGGTTCGAGACTAGACTCGGCAACTTGGCGAGACCTCGTCTCTACAAGAAATCAAAAAAAGTAGCCAGGCACGGTGGTGTACGCCTGTGGTTCCAGCTGCTTGGAAGGCTGAGTGGTGAGGACTGCCTGAGCCCAGCAGGTTGAGGCTGCGGTGTGGTGGCTGTGAGCATGATGTTGGTTCTCTTGCAAGGATGGCAGGTATGGCTCCCCAATACCCCTGGGCTGAGTCTGCCCTGTCACTACCTGCTGAGTCTTCTGGCCCTGGGCTCCACCCATTTCCACCAGTTTGTGAATCATGTGCTCTTCGAGGTCCACTCTTTGCCTAAAGGCACGTGCATCTTCTCGCAATGCCTTTGCAGCAGCTTCTTGCCTTTCACCAAGATCCTGTTAAAAGTCATTTATAAAACAATCACAGACTTAGATGATAAAGCTCGCACACAGAGATGACTTCTCCTAACAGTGATATCACACAAAAGAAAGCTGTAATCGTCTAATTTTATTTTATTTTTTCAGTTGGAGTCTCACTCTGTCACCCAGGCTGGAGTGCAGTGGCGCGCATGCTCACGGCCACCCCAGCTTCAACCTCTGGGCTCCGGCGATCCTTCTGCCTCAGCCTTCCGAGTAGCTGGAACCACAGGCATGTGCTACTACGCCCGACTAATTTTTTATTTTCTGTAGAGACGAGGTCTTGCCAAGTTGCCTGGACTGGTCTCGAACCCACGGGCTCAGGCAGTCCACTCGCTTCGGCCTCCCAAAGTGCCCAGACAGATTACAGGCTGAGTGAGCATCAAGCCCAGCCTAATTTTCAAAATAAAAGGCAGAGTGGTGCCATCAGCAAGAATGACAGGCAGAGGCCTCCGAAGACCCTCTCATCCATAAGACCACTGAGAACCCTGGCAAAAATGGTCAAAACCAACCTTTCCAGAATTGTGGAAACTGACTGAAGGCTTGCAGCAATCTGGGAGCACGTATTTGCAAAAACAGCAAGCTCTGTGACTTCTTATTCTTATTCTCAGCTCCTCCCAAGCTGTGCCTCAGCCTTGAAAGCTGTGGCTTGGAAACCAATGGGTGTGGAGGAGAGGGCAGTGGGGATGGGATTGGACGGCACTCTTCAAGCCACCATTCCTAGAGAACTGGAGGTGGCTCCCTGGGGATCCCACTCCCAAGGCTGTCTTCCGTTGACCTCACTCAGAACTACCTAGTGCAGAACATCCTTTCCTCTGGGGAAGTTGCTGAAAACAATTCGAGGACATTGTTGAGTATCTTGGCTGCAAATAGTAAAGCAAAAAGCGCACAGAAAATGCTGGAGAATTCGAAGTTCACAGGAGGCTGTAATAAGCTCCCAGAGCCTCCTGGGATTCTGGAAGGCCATGTGCTCCTGATGGGCTGTGCACCTGCCAAGGGCTGTGTGCTCAGACTTGAGGGGGCCACCTGTGGTGGACTCTGAGGTTTGGCACCACCAGGATGTGACATCGAATTGCAATCTGCCTGGCTGAGTGTTAAAGGCGTCCCTAATGCACACAGAGCTCCTCAGCAAAGGTTAGCAGCTTCCTGGTTCAAAGACTCAGATAAGAAAATCTCCAGGCAATCATTAGCTGACCCTAAGCTAACTGGGCAGAGACAGCGGTGGCTACACATGACAAGGAACAGGGAGGGAGTTCACAGAATTAGTTCAGAAGTCACTTAGCAAAGAGACATGAAGAAACCCTGTAGGGGGAGCAATCTGGTTTTCAGAACTGCCACATTATATTATAGATGGTCTAGGCTTGACTTAAATTAGTTTTTGACTTTAAATGGGTATGTCAGGATATTAAATGCATTTTTTTTTTTGAGTTGGAGGCTCACTCTGTTACCCAGGCTGGGGTGCAGTGGTATGCTCACAGCTACGGCAGCCTTAACCTGGTGGGCTCAGGTGGTCCTTCCGCCTTAGCCTTCCAAGTAATTGAGCCTAAGGGCACGCACCACCAGGCCCAGTTAATTTTTTGATTTATTATAGAGATGAGGTAGTCTAGGCTGGTCTTAAACTCCTGAGCTTGTACAATCCTCTAAGCCTTGGTCTCCCAAAGTGCTAGGATTACAGGCTTGAGCCACTGCGTTTGATTTAAATGCATTTTGAACTTAATAATATTTTAAACTTACGATGCATGTATTGGGATGTAACCCCATCATATATCAAGTAACATCTGTATTTAAAATAACAGACCTTTAACAAAAACTACATACTCAAAAAACAAGAAAGTATGATCCATACATACTTCGAATAAACATTAATCACACTATCTCCAAAGAAAATATAAACTGGCCAATAAATTATATGAAAAGATGCTTCACATCATTGGTCACAGGGAAATGCAAATCAAAAGCACGGTGAGATACCACCTCACACCCACGGGCACGGCTATAATCCAAAGGACAGACAGTAACAAGTGCTATGAGAAGGTGGAGAACCTAGAAATCTCTGTCCCCAGGTGTAGGCCCAAGAGAGGGAAAACACACATCTTCACGAAAAGCTATACATGCGTGTTCACAGCAGCATCATTCATCACAGCACAACAGCACAATCAAATGTCTACCAACTAACAAATATGCAACATGTGGTCTATTCGTACGACAGAGTACTATTCAGCCATGATGAGGCATGAAGCACTGATGCAGGTACCACATGCATGAACCTTGAGGCTGACATGTGGAGGAAGCCAGTCACAAAACCGCACACTGCACGATCCTACTAACATGAAACATCCAGAACAGGCAATCCAGAGACAGAAGCACACAAGTGGTTGGCAGGGGTGGGGGAGTGGGAGCGAGTGCTCATGGGTGTGGTGGCTGGGAGGGCAGAGAGTTGAAAAGCAAAAAACGTCAAATTAAGGTTCCAGATCTCCTTGTTGATTTTTTGCCTCGATGATCTATCTCGAGTTGTTAGTGGGGTAGTTAAGTCCCCAGCTAGGATCTTTTTAGAGTCAATATCTTTTTTTAGTTTACTTGGTAGCTGTTTTGCAAAAGCTGGTGCTCCTGTGTTGGGTACATATATGTTTAGGATGGATATTTCTTATTGATGGATTGAGTCTTCCATCATTATGTAGTGTCTTTCTGTATCTTTCTAAATTTTTGGTAGTTTAAAGGTTGCTTTGTCTGACAATAAGATCGCGACTCTTGCCTTGTGTTCCGTTTGCCTGAAAATTTGTTTTCCATCCTCTGAGTCCAAACCCAAATTCCACCCAAACCCACAAAAACATAGACACTAAACAGCATGATGCTGAATGACTATTGGGTCAACACAGAAATCAAAACAGAAATTAAAAGATTCCTGGAAACAAATAAAAATGAGGAAACATCTTTTTTCATTTTTATTTATTTTGAAACATCTTACTAAAACCTCTGGGATGCCATGAAATCAATTCTAAGAGGAGAATTTATATTTCTATGAAAACATCTCAAAAAAAATGGAAACATCACAAGTTAACAGCTCAACAAATCACCTCAGGGAGCTGGAAAAACAAGACCACCAAACCCCTAAATTCAGGAGAAGAATCCAGATCACCAAAGTAAAAGCCCAAATATGCGACATAGAAGACAAAAATATCATAGAAAAAAAAAAAAAAAATCAACAGAGAACAAAAAGGTGGTTCTTTGAAAAGATAAACAAGATCGATGGATCCCTAATCAGACTGACCAAAAAAAGAGAGAGAAAGCCCAAATAAACACAATCAGAAACACAAAAGATCAAGTCACAACTGATCCTGAGGAAATACAAAAGATTAGAGATTACTATGTACACCTGTATGGAAACAAACTTGAAAACCTAAATGAAATGGAGGGCTTTCTGACATCACACAACCCCCCAAGGTTGAAACCAGAAGAAATCAAGACCCTAAATAGACCAATAACAACCTTGGAAATTGACTCCCTGTCATAAGAAAACCACCTACAAAAAAAAAGCCCTGGACCAGATGGCTTTCCAGTGGAATTTTACAAAACATGCAATGAGGAGCTGATGCCAATTCTATTGAAAGTATTCCAGGCAACTGAGAAAGACAAAATTCTCCCCAAATCATTTTATGAAGCAAATGTCACACTGATACCCAAGCTGGGTAAAGATCCAACAAAGAAAGAGAACTATAGGCCAATATCCCCGATGATCAGAGATGCAAAAATTCTCAACAAGATTCTGGCAAATCAGATCCAACAACACATCTCAAAAATCATCCACCATGATCAAGTAGGCTTCATCCCAGGGATGAAGGGCTGGTTCAACATCTACAAGACCATAAATGTAATTAAATACATCAACAGATGCAAAAACAAGAACCACATGATTATATCATTTGATGCAGAAAAAGCTTTCAATAAAATCCAGCAGCCCTTCTTGATAGAAACCCTTGAACACCTAGGCATAGATGGAACACACCTCAAAATAGTAAGAGCCGTCTATGATGAACCCATAGCCAACATACTGCTAAACAGACAGAAATTGGAACCATTTCCCCTGAAAACCGGAACAAGACAAGACTGCCCACTCTCACCCCTTCTGTTCAACATAGTGTTGGAATTCCTAGCTACAGCAATCAAACAAGAGAAGGAAATCAAGGGTATTTATTTATTTGTTTATTTTTGAGTTGGAGTCTCACTGTGTCGCCCAGACTGGAGTGCAGTGGGCGCTCCCGGCCACCGCAGCCTCGACCTGCTGGGCTCCCGGCGATCCTTCCGCCTCAGCCTTCCGAGTAGCCGGAATTACAGGCACGCGCTACCACGCCCGGCTGATTTTTTGATTTATTGTTGAGATGAGGTCTCGCTGCCCAGGCGAGTCTCGAACCCGCGGGCTCAGGCAGTCCACTCACCTCAACCTCCCAAAGGCACGGGATTACAGGCTGAGCCACCGAGCCCAGCGGAAATCAAGGGTATTTAAATAGGAAAAGAGGAAGTTAAATTATCCCTCTTTGCAGATGACATGGTCCTACAGCTTGAAAACCCAAGATGATCTGTCAAAAACTTCCTTGCACTGGTAAAGGACTTGGGCAGTCTCGGGGAACAAAATAAATGTGCAAAAGACAGTTGCAGCATAAGATCCCAGCACTTTGGGAGGCCGAGGAGAGTGGATTGCCTGAGCCTGCCTGCAGTTTCGAGACCAGCCTCTATAATAAATAAATAAAAAATAGCCAGGTGTGGTAGTATGCACCTACAGTTCCAGCTACTTGGAAGGCTAAGGCAGAAGGATCACAGAGCCCAACAGGTTGACCCTGGGGTGGCTGTGAGTGTGCCACTGTACTCCAGCTTGGGTGAGAGTCAGACTCCAACTCAAGAAAAAAAAAAAAAGACAGTCACAATCTTATACACCAACAACAAACAAATCATAAAAAGCACAATTCCATGCACAATAGCCACCAAAAAAATGAAATACCTCGACATCTTCCTAATCAGAGAAGTGAAAGATCTTTACGATGAAAACTACCAAACACTGTTCAAAGAAATCAAAGAAGACACAAACAAATGGAAAAATATTCCATGCTCACGGATTGGAAGAATTAACATTGTTAAGATGTCTATCCTACCAAAGGCAATCTATAGACTTACTGCATACCCATTAAATTACCAACATCATTCTTCTCAGACCTAGAAACGACAATACAGACATTCACTTGGAAACATAAAAGACCATGAATAGCCAATCTTTAGCAAAAGTAGCAAAAGTAACAAAGGGGAAAGTATCACACTTTCAGACTTTAAGCTCTACTATAAGGCTGTAACAAGCAAAACAGCCTGGTATTGCTACAAGAACAGGCCTACAGACCAGTGGAGCAGGATAGAGATTCTGGAAGCAAAACCTCAATTTCTCAACCAGCTCATCTTCGACAAAGCCTTCACCAACAACCACTGGGGAGAAGAAAACCTATTCAGTAAATAATGCTGGAAAAACTGGCTGACCACATGCAGAAGACTGAAACAGGACCCCTACCTATCACCATACACAAAAATCAACTCTAAATGGATCAAAGACCTAAACTTCAAACTATGAGAATTCTAGAAGAAAACGTAGGAAACATCCTTAAGCACATTGGAGTAGGCAACCAATTCTTGATCAAATTCCCAAAAGAGAATGCCGTAAGAGATAAGATAGACAAGTGGGCCCTCATCAAACTGAAAAGATTCTGCAAAGCAAAAGAAACCATCAAGAGAGCAGGAAGACAGCCACAGAATGTGAAAAATATGTCAACTGTATTCTGACAAAAGCCTAACATCCAGGATCCACAAGGAACTCAAACACGCCGAAAGGAAGGAAAAAACCCAACCCTATTTTTAAAAAGTGAACAAAAGATATGAATAGCCACTTCTCAAAACAAGACATATAAGCAGCCAACAGACACATGAAAAAATGCTCAGCCTCACTAATCATCAAAGAAATGCAAATTAAAACCATATTGAGATACCACCTAACTCCAGTCAGGATGGTCATCATCAATAACTCACAAAACAACAGATGCTGGACAGGATGCGGGAAAAAGGGAACACTTCTACAATGTTGGTGGGAGTGGAAACTAGTATAACCTCTATGGAAAACAGTGTGGTGATTTCCAAAAGATCTGAAAATCGACCTTCCATATGATCCAGCAATCCCCCAGAGGAACACACCCAGAGGAACGCAAATCACTCTACAAAAAAGATACCTACATATGCATGTTTACTGCAGCATTATTCATAACAGCAAAAACATGAAACCATCCATACTGCCCATAGAAAGTGAACTGAATAAAGAAGATGTGGTACATAAACACAATAGAATATTATGCAGCCATAAAGAAAAACAAAATTATACACTTCATAGCAACTTGGATGGATTTAGTGTCTACAATATTCAGTGATCTATCACAGAAACAAAGATCTGAGTATCACATACACTCACTCATAAGCAGTCCCTGAACATTTATCATAACCCTGTAAGAAAGGGATTGGCCGTAGAGGGACACTGTCGGCGGGGCTGGGGGCAGGGGAGCACATAACATCAATGAGCGTGCCCAACCTCAAACTAGGTGAAGTGACGACCGAGAGGAGGCCCAAACCTTACCTGTACAATGACCACTTATGTACCTAACCCTGAATTGTACCCCACATCTTTAAAATAAAAAAAAAGCAAAATACAAAAGTGTTTGTACCAAATACTATCACTTATCACTGTTAATGATGTTAGCAGTCAATATTCCTTCATGGAGGGATTTTTTTCCCCACTTTTCTAATTATCAAGCAAGAGCATAATTACCTTTGTAATTTCCTAAAAATAAAAATCTTCAATTATATGCAGGAAAAAAAAATTATATATACACATATATGTAGATGCTTATTGCCAAAAACTGCAAACCACTTAAAACATCCAACAACAGAAGAAAGTTTAATAAGTTACGGTTCATCAACAGCCACTACAAAGGACAATTGTGAAGATCTGTGGCCACTTAGAAAAAGAATGTTATTAAGTGAAAAAGGAAGGTGGAACTTGGAATTTCAGCTACTTTATAAAGAGGTGAAGGCACGTGTGTAGAGATTAAGGACGAGGAAACAAGGAATTCAAGAGTATCAAGGACTGGACGGTGCTGGGAAGAAGTACATCACAAGAGGAAAGCACTGCGCTGGCCTTGGAAACACACACTAAGGCATTTAGGGGTTGCCGGGCACAGTGGCTCATGCCTGTCGTCCCAGCACTTTGGGAGGCAGAGGTGGGAGGGTCACTTGACCCAGAAGTTTGAGACCAGACTGCCAACATAGTGAGACCGCATTGCTACCAAAAAAAAAAAAAAAAGCTAGCCAGGCATGGAGGTGCATACCTGTAGTCCCAGTTACTTGGGAGACTGAGGGAGAATTGCCTGAGCCTGGGAGGTCAAGGCTGCAGTAAACTGCGACTGACCCACTGCACTCCAGCCTGGGCAACAGACTGAGACCCCGACTCAAAAAAAAAAAAAAAAAAATCCAAGAGAAATAACAGCTGCACATTCTTGATTTTTTCTTGCTACTATCTGTTAACTCTAAAATTATATATTCTGATTGCCACTATCCTCCATCCTTAAAGAAAAGATAATAACAAGTAAAATTTAGCTTAATCCAAATGAATTACATCTAATTCCAAATCATAGGAGACTTAGTCAAACCACAAATCTCTTGCTCAGTTCTAGAAGAAATTCAGTGTAGAATCTTAAAAAATGTTCAAATATAAAAGAATGCGATGTATTTTTTTTTTTTTTTTGAGTTGGAGTCTCACTTTTGTTGCTTAGGCTGGAGTGCAGTGGCATGCTCATGACCATGGAGCCTTGACCTGCAGGGCTTAGGTGATCCTTCCGTTTCAGCCTTCTAAGTAGCTGGAACTACAGATGCATGCCACCATGCCCAGCTAGTTTTTTTTGTGTGTGATTTATTGTAGACACAAGGTCTCACCAAGTTGTCCAGATTGGTCTTGAACCCCTAGTCTCAGGCAATCCTCTTGCCTAGCCTCCCAAAGTGCTGGGATTACAGGTTGAGCCACCACGTCAAGTCTTAAATCTTATTTAATGTGGACAGCAATCCTGTGTATGTTACCTGCCATGAATCCAGTTTTCACTGATTTCAAACTCAGAGTCTGACATCAGGAGAGCTGAAGGAAGTGAAAACTTGTAGTTTCAACACCAAATAAATGAATAACAAAACATTTTCCCCAAATAATAAAAACGTCTATTAACAAATCTCCTTTTCCCAGTGTCCTGAACATGGAATTATATGTACTAAGCAGATATTTGCTGATTTGATTCCAGAGGATTTCAGTCTACAGTACTGTATAGCTCTGCCTGATGTACCTTTTAAGATCCTGGTGAGGTACTGGAATAATTATGTCATCGTTATATACAAACAGAAAAGTTCAGTCAGCTGGCAAAAATTCCGAGACAAGATCGGAGGCTTATACCTGGTGCCTCAGACAGCAGAGTAAGCAGTTCAGAAACATGAACTGAAGAATGAGGACAGGCCACACGTTCAGAACTCTGGCTACTGCACAGTCCTGATGACACCACATTCTGCTTAAAAAGCAAGTAAAATGAGCCTTCGAGAAGCATGAATGCTATAGTCTAGAAAGGGCTGGTACCAGCCCTGCTTTGCTATGTTGGAAATGCCTGGTTTATACCTTCTCAAAAAGCCTTTTTTGTGACTCGAGTTCCAGCCATCTCACTTCCAGGTCTTTGGCTCTGGCAGCAATTTCTTGATCTCGCATATGCATCTAAGGTAGAACAAAAAGCTGTGAACACCAAAAAGAATTGACAAGATAACTGCTAATGGAGTTCATCATCTAATAATCTTTCATTTTAATCTTATTTTAATAGAGATAGTGAATCTTGATGTGCTGGCGAGGCTGGTCTTGAACTCCTGGCCTCAAGCAGTCCTCCCATCTCAGTGCTGGAATTACAGGTGTGAGCCACCATGCCCAGTAATCTTGTAATCTGCACAATCTACTAACTAACAGTATTTAAAATAGTAGGGCCAGGCATGGTGCTCACACCTATAATCCCAGCACTTTGGGAGCCAGAGGTGAGAAGACTGCCTGAGCCCAGAGGTTCAAGACCAGCCTGGGCAACCTGGCGAAACCTCGTCTCTACAGTAAATCAAAAAATTAGCTGAATATGGTGGTGCACCTGTAGTTCCAGCTAAGGGAGGCTGAGGCGGAAGGATCACCTGAGCCCAGCAGGTCAAGGCTGTCGTGGCTGTGAGCAGGCCACAGTACTCCAGCCTGGATGACAGAATGAGACTCCAACTCAAATAAATAAGTCAATAAATAAAAATAAAATAAGATAATAGGAAGCTTGGGCAACATAACAAGACCTTGTCTCTACAAAAAATTTTTAAAAATTAGCTGGGTGTGGTGGTGTGTGCCTGTAGTTCCGGTCACTCAGGAGGCTAGGGCAGGAGGACCGCCCAATACCAGGAGGTTGAGGTTGTGGTGAGCCATGATCATACGACTGCATTCCAGCCTGGGCAGCAGAATAAGACCCTGACTCAAAAAATAAGTAAGCAAATAATAGGAATTTGGTTTTTGAAACCAGAGTAACTGACAGTATGTTAATATGCACTGCAGAATCTGGGAATAATCTCTCATTTAATGTTAAGTCTAATATTTTAAAAAAGAAAGCACAAGCACCATATGCCCACCTGCCCAGACGAGAGAGACAGATGGCACTTCCTACCATGCAACAGCAGCCAATATTATGAGTTAAAAAACTTAATTTAAATTTGGGGTGGATTAAAACACAACATTTATTTAATGCTCTTTTTGATTAAACTCCTATACTCTTATAAACTCCAGGCTTAAATGTCTTGTGGACTGTTCGACCGCGTGTGTCCTGTGCCAACCTAGTGAAGTTAGAGTTCACCTGTCTCCACAATTTGATTCCTTGGAAGTTTCTATTCCTCCATCTTTGAAGGCCTGGGTAAGGCACTGTCTAGAGTATCTTAGCCATCATTTTCAATATCAGGCTCCTCAGGCCCCAGTGCTGAGGGGTGAGCACAAAGCACGCAAGGTGTTTCAAACAAACGGAACAACAGAAGTGCAACCCGTCAGCCATGCCCTCCATCCACTTACTCGGCAGACAGGTACTGACTGCATCACTGCCTTGGTCCATAGGGTAAAGCAGGAGATGCTGTCGACTGTGGCGAAAGACGTGCTCACGATGCCCCGGACAGAAGAAACCGCCCAAGTGAGAAGGTGGTGGGAGTGCAAAGACACACACCCGAGAGTCAAGGCGCCTCGGGCGGGCACCAGGCAGCACCGGGAGGGTCTGGGGAAAGCAGCCCACTCAAGGCGGATGCTGACTACAGGACACCAAAACAGTGCCCGGCCATGAGGGGAGACGAAGTGCACACAGCAGGCCACACCTGCCAGGAATTTCTCACAGACGTGCTTTCGCCTGTGACTTCAGAGACACCAGCGCGGGCCGGGGCAAAAGCAGATGGACTTTGCTTGCGGCTAACTGATGTCTGCAGTCACACGCACAGGTCACTTTGGACTCAAGCAGCCTTTCCTGCTGGGGCCGGAACGGAGAGAGGCAGAGAAACTTCTGCAGTGTGGCAGGGTCAGAGCGCAAGCTCCGAATGGGCAGCTGGAAGGACGGGAGGCTACAAAGTGGGCCGAGGCCAGATCAGGCCGCTGAAGGGGCTTCACAGGATTCGTGGACCAGAAATGCCTTTCTGATCTCACAGGGTTGGGAATAAAGATGTCAGAGTTGTGCGCTTGTATTGCACTGGGGAAGAACACACACTTTTCCAGATAATGAAATAGGCATCGTATTCACTAGATGAGATAGAAGGAATCTAAGATTTTGAAAACCAATGTAAATTTAATTATCTTTAACCAAAACAAGAAGTATCATGCTAGCCAGGCGTGGTGGCTCACGCCTGTAATCCCAGCACTTTGGGAGGCGGAGGCGAGAGGAATACCTGAGCTCAGGGGTTCGAGACCAGCCTGAGCAACATGATGAGACCCAATCTCTACAATAAATTAAAAAAACCAGCTGGGCATGGTGGCATATGCCTGTGGTTCCAGCTACTTGGAAGGCTGAGGCGGAAGGATCACCTGAGACCAGCAGGTCGACACTGGGGTGGCCATGAGCGTGCTATTGTACTCCAGCCTGGGCAACAGAGTGAGACTCTGACTCAAAAGAAAAAAAAAAGCAGTATGCTATAAAAAGAGATAATAGATTTCTAACACAGATTAATTTATGATACTTTAAGAGCTGGGCCTATAATCCCGCACTTTGGGAGGCTGAGGTGAGAGGACTGCTTGAGCCCATGGGTCTGAGACCAGCCTGGGCAGCTTGGCAAGACCTCATCTCTACAATAAATCAAAAAATTAGCTGGGCATGGTGGCACATGCCTGTCGTCCCAGATACTTAAATGGCTGAGGTGGAAGGATTGCCTGAGCCCAGCAGGTCGAGGCTACAGTGGCTGTCAGCTGCCACTGCACTCCAGCCTGGGTGACAGAGTGAGACTCCAACTCAAAAAAAAAGATACTTTAAGAGACTTAAAAAACATGTTCAGTATTTTGCCAGGTGTGGTGGCTCATGCCTATAATTCCAGCACTTTGGGAGGATGAGGCAGGAGGATCACTTAAGCCCAGGAGTTCAAGACCAGTCTGGGAAACAGAGTGAGACCTCATCTCTACAAAAAATTAAAAAGTGAGCTGGGTGTGGTGGTGTGTGCCTGAAGTCCCAGTTACTTGGGAGGCAGAGGTGGAAGGATCGCTTGAGCCCAGGAGGTCGAGGCTGCAGGAGCCACGCTTGTGCCACTGCACTCCAGCCTGGGTGACGGACTGAGACGATGACTCAATAATAAAACATAAAACATCCAGTATTTCATCAAAACTAGGTTGACATTCCCTAAGTTAGTGTATAAATCAGTGTACATCTGAAGAGAAATCCCAGTAGGACAGGGAGAGGTGGGAATTCAGAGTGACAACATTCTCCAAGTCTACTATTTGGAAAGACTAATATTCGAGAATACTGAAGAAGACTTTGACTAGGAAGGCTAATGAGTGGGACCAGGCTACTCAGGAAACACCACAAAGCTACTATTATTCAAACAGTATGGCACTGCCTTAGGGAGAGAAAAAGCAAGGGAGATGGAACATGGAGGGGAGTTCAACGTGTGCTAGCATCAGACAGCCATTACTCTGCTAAGAGTCAACAAACGATGCAAGACTCAACAGTGGACTTGTCCTTTGGAAACCAGTAAGCTTAGTCCCCAACTCATTCATTGCATCCACTTTTCAGACACGTCAAGGCTGGCAGACTTTCTGGAAAGAGTAAGATGGCAAACATTTTAGGCTTGTGGGCTACACGCTTTCTGTCAACGTGCTCCTCTGCCACTGTCGTGCAAAAGCAACCACAGATGACATGTACACGAATGGGTAGAAAGGCATTCCAATAAAACGGTATTTATGAACCTAACAAACATTTAAATTTCATATTTTAAAAAAACATTTAAAATGTTAAAATCAGCCGGGCTCAGTGGCTCAGCCTGTAATCCTGCGCTTTGGGAGGTCGAAGCTGCGGTGGCCGGGAGCGTCCACTGCACTCCAGTCTGGGCGACAGAGTGAGACGCCAACTCAAAAAAAAATAAATAAGTAAAAATAAAATAAAATGTTAAAATCACTCTAGCTCCCGGACCATGTAAAACAGGTGGTGGGCCAAAGGGCTGGTGTGGAGTGGTCTGCCAGTCCCTGAGATCCACTGAAGACTGAAACAAATTCAGAAAACAGAACACGAGAAGAAAATATGCCTAAGTGGTCGCATAACTTTAGCATGGGAAGGTCTTTCTAAATATGACACAAAACTCGGAAGTCACCAACAATGAATCAAGTTGATTCTTCTTTTTTTTTTTTTTGAGTTGGAGTCTCACTGTC